GCAGAATATACAACAAATTTTGTTGCCATGGCTATTGAGTAATACCATAGGGTCTTGTAAAGAAAATCAAACAAGACACAGATATTCAAGTTCAAATAAAAGAAAGAACTTCAATAATAAAATGTATAATAATAATGATGAAAGAAATAACAAGAAAATAGTGAATAGAAAAAGAAGAACACAAAGAAAAACAAATAAGAAACAAGGCAAATATAATGATAATAAACATTATACAAATAAGAAACCTAAATGGTTGACAACAAAAGAAATTCAAAAGAAAATTAAAAGAATAACAAGAAAATGGGAGAAAGGAGAATACGAAGAATTAATTAAAAAGTATGAAGGTAAAGAAAAGAAATGGTATAATATTCTCCAAGAAGTATATTCAATAAGAAAGAAGAAAACACTAGAGAAAATCAAAGAAGAATTCAAAGATAAAACAAAAGATTGGACAAGTGAAGATATTAAAACAATCGAAGAAGAAATCAAACACAAAAATCCAATCAAAGAAATGAACGATAGATGTAAATCTGCAAGAATAATAAATGAAAAAGAAAATAAAGGGAAAACACAAGATAAAGAAGAGAAAAAGGAAGAAGAAGGCAACAAAGAAGAAATTAACACACTTCAAAATAAAATTAAAGAGTTAGAAGAAACTATCAAAGAACTTCAAACAAAAAAGATGGAAGAAGAACGAACTATTTCAGATGAAATGATTCAAAAAACACGAGAAACAGTCAGGAAAGAGTTTGAAGAAGAAATAAAAAAGATTCAAACACAAATAAACAATATTCAGAATACATGTAATGAAATAAGAAAAGAAAACTCAAATTAAAAGAGGAAAATAAGATATTACAATGAAAAATAAATGAAGCAAATGGTAGAAGGGTCATAGAATTAGGAGGTAAGGATGAAACCACCTTCACACTCCGAGCTAGCTATGAGAGGCTGAAGAAAGAGAAGGACGAAGTCCTTAAGGGTGCTGAGCTGGAGAAGAAGAAGGCTGATGAGCTGGAGAAGAGTGCTGAGCTGCTAGAGAAGAACATAAGAGATAAATAAAATCAAATCTCTGAATATCAAAAAGTGCGATTCAAAACTATGAGATTGCAGAAATAACAAGAAAAGAATTAGACCATACACAAAGAGAAAATGAAGAACAAAAACAAATAATATCAAAACAACAAGTAAGTATCGAAAATTTTTTATCCCAGAAGGAACTGGAGAAGAAGAAAACAATGACTCTAGTGATAAATACACAACCAATACTGAGAACATCATCATCTGGGACAATACAAATGAACAAAACTACCCCTATGAAAAAGACAATTCTGGAAATAGAAGAGAACAAAACACTGAATATCAAAAAATAAGAAATGATAATCAGTCAAGAAGAGAAGAAAACACAATAAATCAAACAAATAGAATTTTAATTGATGTGTTATATTGTTTTGCAATTAATTGGTTAAATAAGAAATTAAATAAGAAATTAAGAAATGAACAAATAGAAAATATAATAAAAGTAATAAATAATAATGTAAATAATGATAAAGAATACATTAATAATATTAAAATATCACATAGAATAAAAGAAATAACTGAGATATATATTAAAATGAAAATGAACTCAATCATAGAAGGGAAAGTAGAGTGTAATCCAATAATAAAAAACATTATCATAAAAAATAACTCTACTGATATTGATAATGAATACATTAACTCTATCATCACTCAAGTTAAAGGAATGAAAATAGATAAATGTGTAAATATTAATTACTACTGGAAAATGAAAGAATCAGATAAATTAATTAGAGAAATAAATAATAAATGGGTATGGTCAGGAGAATAGAAAATCTGCAAGAAGATATGAAAATAATTTCAATGTGTATGCATTACTATCTCCAAAATAAATTTATAGGAGATAAATTTGATGAAGTAAAAGAAATCCTAAGGAAAATAAATAGAATAGAAGATCTAGTCAAGGGAAGGAAATGGTACAGAATAAAATGCATCATGAGATTAAATGAACAAGATATAGATGAAATTAAAATTAAATCACATGAAAGAATAAAGTACATAAAATATATGATGACGATGATTAAAGAAAGAATTAAATTTAATAAGAATGAAAGGGTCAGAATCAATACAAATAAAATCATGTTTGATTCTAATAAGAAAATTAAAATAAAGAAGAAACACAAAATGAAATATACCCAAATAACGATATTATTTTAGAATATTGGAAATCGTTATATGAAACACAGGTGATATTAAATAAAGAACATTGGAAAATAAAACAAATCACATCGTGGAATGAAAGATACAGGAATTATGATAGTGTCATCATCACAATGGATGAACTAAATCTAAGCCTGATGAAAATAAGTAATTGGAAAGCACCAGGTATTGACACTATATATGGGTATTATTGGAAGAGAATGTCATCATCAAGAGATTCCATTCTTAATATCTTCAATGAATGGTTAAACTTCAATGAAAACATCCCTCTAGACATGGTAAGTGGAAGAACTATATTAATCAACAGGAGGTGATAGGAACGATGTCACTAATTATCTTCCTATCAGTTGTACAAATGTAATAATGAAAGTATTTACCTCCATATTAAAAGAGAAGATTCACAATAGAATTAACATGAATAATGAATCATTAAAAATTAGTAAAAATCAATTATGATATAAATTATAATTTCATGATGATAAAGAAGGATTAATTAATAATTATATGTTAAAGCAGCAGAAAGAAGAGAAATACACAAAATATGTAGAGTCATATTATGATATTAAGAAAGCATATGACTCAGTAAATCATGAATGGGTAATAGAAGCACTTAAATATTTTAATGTAGAGGGTATCATCATAGACATTGTAGAAAGTATGATGAACAGATGGAAGATATTCATAGGATATAAATATAATGAATATCTAGGATGTATTAAACTGAAGAGAGGAATTTTACAAGGTGATTCATTATCATTTCTATCTTCATCATCAAAATGAATGTAATTTCTCAAATCATAGAAGAGAAGTTCCCAAAAGCAAACCATACATTGTATATGGATGAATTGAGAATAATGACACAAAGTAGTGAAGAAATGGGAACAATCCACAATGAAATTAAAGAAATAATAAGTGGAATAGGGATGGAAATGAAAATAAATCAGGAATGGTATTAAAAAACATTAATAAAATACCAGATTGAATGCAAAACATCCCAATAATTGAATGAGAGGACTTGTATAAATATTTAGGAGTATGGTAGTCAGATGAAATTAATGATATATTCAATTGTAAAATCATCAAAGAAAAGATGATGAAGAAAATTGAAGAAATAAATAGTGATGAAAGTAGTAATAGAAGATATATTACAAGAATTAATATTGAAGTAATACCCATCTTCAGATATTCAGCATCAGTAGTAAATTGGAAGGTAACTGACCTAGATAGAATGGATTTGGAGATAAGAAAATATTTAAGAAAGGCAAAATACATTAGTTATAACTCCAAAGACCATCTATATGTCAATATAAATGAAATGGGTGAAGGATTAATAAGCCTAAGGGACGAATATGTTATTGAATTAATTAGAACAGTAATGTATTATTGTACAAGAGTGAAATAGGAAATAACATAATAGATAGATGGTATTCCAAGAAATGAATATGGAATAGAATTAAAAAAGCACTAAGTCATAAGATCACAGAAACGAAAATAGAAGAAATAATAAATGAAATGAAAATAAAAAAGAAAAAGAGGTAGTATTAAAAATAAAGAAATTAATGACCAACCAATACATCAAAAAATGGAAATCAAACAAGTTGACATTTTAGAAGATGGTTCGAGTCAAAATTTGTAGATAAAACTACTACAATCAATGCATGGAAGTTCATCAATATAAAGAAAAATTCATTTCTCCAATTAACTAAAATGCAAGATGGAGTAATATTTAGTGGGTACAGGAAAGATAAAATATTAAAAAATGAAAGATTGAAGTACTGCCCACTTTGTAAATACAAGATAGCCACAGTAGAACACATTCTACTATCTTGCATTGGTCATAAAAAGTCACAAATTGAGAAACATGACCATATTGGCATTATCATATTAGATAATAAGAAAATACACATGAAATAAACAATACAAGAAATCAACATATGAAACAGTGTTCCAATACAATGACATCACTATGATATTAAACAAATAATGCCAAAAAGTGATGGACTATATCATAAAATAACAGATATATATGTAATAAATAAAAAGAATAAAACTGGTCTAATAATTGATATGACTATTGTGGCAGATCATAATATTAATGGAGCCTATTGGAAGAAAAGAAATATGTATAAGGAATTGAAAAATAGGCTAATGAAAATAAAGAAATTAAAGGATGTCAACATAATTGCAGTAGTAATTTGGATTAATGGGCTAATAAATGCCGAAAGTATTAAAATAATCAAACAATTAAAAATCGAAATTGACATCACTAAAGAAATTAAAAACCTTGTAATTAAAAACATGATGGACGTCATGGAACACTGTGGAGATCACAACCAAACATATGTAGTTGAACTACATGACGAAGACGAAGGGACGGGATTAGTCTCCCCTGAGCCAGGAACAATAGACACAAGTTCTATTAATACTTAATTAACTTCTTTATTATTTTTTTTTCTTTATTTCTTCTTTTACTTATATTTTACCCCTTTTACTTTCATTTAAAATACTTCTTATTTTATATTATTATTTCTTTCTATTTATATTTATTTATTCATATCCTTATTATACATTTTATTGTTATTTCTTCATTTCATTTATTTGTTGAAATGGTATTTTGTGATTGATATTGTATGAAGAATAAGAAGAATGAAATATTCAATGAAGATAAATTATTATATTATTTAATTCAAAAGCAATTTTTAAATAACAAAAATATTAAAATGTTATAAAAATAAAAATTAAATGAACTTAAAAATAAATAAAAGATGAAACCAAGAATGATAACAATGATAATTGATATTGAATATGATGACATGGATGTGTATTTGTATGATGGAAATGAATATGAAAGAATTGATAAAATGAAATATTTAAAAGAAGAAGAAAAGAAAATAATTGAAGAAATCATTTCCAATGATGAGAAGAATGTGAAAATTAGAAAAGAAAATATTAAAGGAGTAGAAATGATGATTAAACCAGAAAGTAAATTATCAATGATATTCAATAATATTAAGAAAGAAGTAGAAAAGAAAGGAGAAAATGAAAGAACAATCATTTGTATTCCTAATGGAACAAGTCAAGGAAATGAAAGAAGAATAGAAAATTCAACAAAACTGGGAAGATTAAACAATGTACAAATCATACGGAAATATCATATAATTGAAAGAATACTTTCAGAAGAATATAACATAGAAACACCAATTCTTATCATAGAAAATACAGAAATAACATATGGAAATATTAAAAAAGAAAACGATAAGATAAGAATAAGAATAATAAATACTATAAGAACAAACAATACAACAGAAGAAAATAAAGAAATCAATAGAATAATAACAGAAGAAAAAGAAGAGAAAGGGATAATAATAAATAATAAAATAAAACAAGAAAACAAAATAAACACAAAAAGATGGAGATATAAAGAAATCAACAAAGAAACATATATTAAAACAATAATAGAAAAGATAGAACAAGAAGAAGAATATTCAGAATATTCATCAGAAAGAGAAATGATAATAAATATCAAAAGAATAATATACAATAATAAAATCAATAAAAGAATAATTAGAAAAAGAAGAATAGGATATAATGAAATAATGATAACATCAATGTATTTTAATGATATTAATGATTTTATTAATTTAGAAATAGGAATTAAAAGATTTCAAGGAAATATGGAACGATTTCATTTTAATCCAATTCCATTAAATGAATATTCAAGAAGATTCTTTCCTAATATTGAAACATTTCATATTTATAATAAAAATGATGAAATATTTAATGATGGAATAATATTTAAAGAAGTAATATGGTATCCAGTAAGTTATTTAACATATTTAAAAGAGAAAGAAGCAGGAAATATCTATAAAAATATAGAATATACAAAATCAGATAGAAAATCATATGGAAATACAATACCACCAGAAGTTAAATCACTTGGAGATGAATGTTTTAATAGATGTACATCATTAAAATCAATTAATATTCCAATAACTATTAAAGAAATAGGAAATAATTGTTTTTATGAATGTTCATTATTAATATCAATTAATATACCATCATCGATTATTAAAATAGGAGATTATTGTTTTTATGAATGTACATCATTAATATCAATTAATATACCATCATCTGTTAGTAAAATAGGAAATTATTGTTTTTATGGATGTTCATCATTAGAATCAATTAATATACCATCATCAATTATTAAAATAGGAGATTATTGTTTTTATGGATGTTCATCATTAATATCAATTAATATACCATCATCTGTTAGTAAAATAGGAAATTATTGTTTTTATGAATGTACATCATTAATATCAATTAATATACCATCATCGATTATTAAATTAGGAGATTATTGTTTTTATGAATGTACATCATTAGAATCAATTAATATACCATCATCTGTTAGTAAGATAGGAAATGGATGTTTTTATGGATGTTCATCATTAGAATCAATTAATATACCATCATCAATTATTAAAATAGGAGATTATTGTTTTTATGGATGTACATCATTAGAATCAATTAATATACCATCATCTGTTAGTAAGATAGGAAATAATTGTTTTTATGGATGTTCATCATTAGAATCAATTAATATACCATCATCAATTATTAAAATAGGAGATTATTGTTTTTATGGATGTTCATTATTAATATCAATTAATATACCATCATCGATTATTAAATTAGGAGATTATTGTTTTTATGAATGTACATCATTAGAATCAATTAATATACCATCATCTGTTAGTAAGATAGGAAATGGATGTTTTTCTAGATGTTCATTATTAACATCAATTAATATACCATCATCAATTAGTGAAATAGGAAATTATTGTTTTTATGGATGCTCATCATTACAATTAATTAATATACCATCATCAATTATAAAATAGAAA